TGACCAAAGCAGTCTCTCACCTTGTTGGTCAGAACTAGTTTTCTCCAGAGAGTCCTTGAGAAACATGTTTTCCTCTCTTAAGGTTCTGTTTCTGTTCCGGAGGAGTTCCATCTCCTGCTCCAATCTGAGCACCTTCAGGTAAAGTTCTGATGTCTGATTTGATGCTGTCTACAAAAGATGTCAGTTCAGCCTTTTGCTGGATTCCCTGGATTATCCTTTGAGCCTGACAGTTTTTACTACCTTATGAAAACCAAGTGGGATTGGGGTAGGGACGAAGACTTAAGTCCTCAGGGTGCTCAGGAGTCTGTCAAATCTTTTGTTGTGGGGCATAAGCACTGATGATCCTCAAGCCAATTTTATGTCACATATACATACCTGGCCTGTGTCCCTCACAATGGGAATTTTCTTGGTGTCTAGCATGATGTGGCCTTCACCTGTGACCCTGAGATCCAGCTGAGAGCAGCTTAGCTCGGCACAACCTTCTGCAGAGTGGGAGAGACACCATTAAGAAAAGGAAGCCTAGTCGTCCAGCCCAGGTAGGGTGAGGAGATGTTAGAACATGTACTCACCTGCCCGGCTACAACCCAGGGGCCCGGGGAAGGGTGGGTCCTGCCCGGAACCCAGCAGCCTCCCTCCTAGCCCTCTTTGTATCTACTGAACAACGCACCACACAAAAGAAGTGAACAAGGTACCTTGGAGGCCCCACAGATCAACTATGAGAGCATTTGTCTGTAAATAATTAAGAAACTCCTGAGATGTGTTGAAGGCTGCAAATTGGACAGTCTCTTCAATTTGGGGATTCACAGTTTTCCATACAGGCTTGGTGTATAATGTGATTGGGAGATCATAAATCCTGTAACTGAGAAAAGAACACAAGATATAGTTTAAAATCAGAAGAGACACATTTTAAAATGGGGTCAGAGAGCCAAAGAATTAGAACCCATGCATCCGGTAGGTAGAAGGAAGGCTCAGAGCTAGTTCTCATGATTGCTGCCTCCACGTCCTACTCAACACTGGCATTGTCACTACATGGCTGATAATGTCTAGCAGGTAGAAGGATTTTAATATTTTCTATTCACTCAAATTATCTTTCATGTGAGATGGTAGTTATTGTTCAAAGTATACTTTATTTATCTTTCAGTATGTATGTAATCGTTATAACCATATCTGGTGCACCCTGTCATGTTGTAATACAGTTATTTTTGTTTTCAACCAAAACATTTTACTTAATATAGTTTTGCCAGATATTTTTTCTGGTAAGATTTGACTCCTTCAGTCACATAAAGGTTTAGTACTCACTGACCACAGCCTAGTAAATGTAGAGAGACATGTGGCTTCTCCTTAAGAGATGCGGAGGGGACATAGTCATTTTACAGTTGGGCAAGTGGAGGAAGATTAACATTTCATGATGAGCTCATTTTTTAAACTTGAGGACGACTCCCTCCCTCTGGGATCACTCAGAACCCAGATAATGCCCTCAGGCCAGTGGCATGGGCTGGTACCCACCCCATCTGAATGCCCCGCTTTGCATCTTCCTTTAGCCACTTGACACCCAGGCAACGGATAATGTGAATCTGGAAATCAATCCTCTTGCCCAGGAGTTCCAAAGGGTCAATAACCACATCTTCCTCGCTGTGTGCTCTGCAAACACAAGAGGTGAACGCTGGTTTCAGATGAAGCTAGGTGAAGCAAGCTTGCATTGTGAGGTCAGGAGAATGAAATAGAATCCTTAAAGAACAGCGAATTTCACCAAAGGAAGGATGGTATGTTACCAATTGTAAAATTCATGCACTCAGGAGCCATTTACTGGGATCTTACCCCATCCTGGTTCTTCAAGGGGATAATGAGCATCACAGGTGTCCACACAGCCTGGAGAAGGGATTCTAAAAACCGTATCATATAATAAATGCATGCACGTGTGGGCACTAAACTGGTCCTGAAGATTTACATAGGTCCCCAGTGGGAGGGAGGGAGAGCCACTGGCTGCCCTGGCATAGCCTCTTGGATTGTTTTCCTTGGTGAATTCTTTTCAGTTCTGAGTTCATCTCAGGCCTATGAGCTCAGATACTAATTCGGACAGCTTTCCAACAGGAGCTTCTCACGTCAACCAACTCAGAGCCTGAGACCCATGAGAATTCTGCTTATTAATTTGCAGTGTAATTATCAAGCAGCCTGAAAGGCCAGGATAGCAGATGACTAGAAGGTTGCTGGGAGTCCCAGTAGAGATAATGCATTGGTCAGCTTGGTCTCTTGCTTACAAAACCTTACATTACTTCACAGCATTCTTGAGCTCAGCAAGACAGAAAGATTGCCCAGCATGCCTTGAGATGTTGGCTTTCCAGCCACACCCCCTGCCAACATCTTTGTCTAGTGCTGCTAAAAGGCTTTAGCTTTTACACAAATTGCTTATGGCCTAAGAGAGAGGGGGAAAAAAAAAGACATCCTCAGGGGAAGGTAAAAGGTAACAGCAGAAGTTAGGATGAAACTGATAGTTTAACCACTAAGCCTATACCCACCGAAGATCAAATAGTCCAGGAAGAAGCAGGGCATCTTGGTCCCTACTTTCAGGGAAAAAAGTGGTCAGGTCTCTCCCAAAGGGCAAGGGTGAGCTAGCAGACTTATCTTTCTGCTTCTGGCTCTTGGGCCTCATCAGCAGGATGGGCCTGCAGCATGGACAAGCACCCTATATGTTGCGAACCCCAGACCTCATGGGTGTCGGCAGAGGCTAAAGCTGCACAACACCCTGGCTTTCTCCTCTGAGGGTCAACTGGATCCAACTTGGGGTTTGGCTTCTTGGCTAAGGCTCCCCCTCCTGCTCTTCCTACTTCCCCACCCTTTGTGGAATGCCCTCCTCAAGCCCTTGGTCGCCAGGGAAGTACAGAGCTGTCTTTTATGCTACTGGGCATTCAAGATTTGGCTGCCATGGCAAAAGTCAGATTCAGTAAAGCTGAATGAATGAATGAATGAATGAGTCTGTCCATTTGCCCACAAACGACCATGTTAGGTGTCCAACTGGCCACCGCCTCAGGAGAACTCAAGCTTGCTGTGTGTGTGACTGACCCTGAACAGGAGAAGGGGAGGAGGAGATACGTACTGTCCCGCTGGGGAGCAAGGGATGATGCGGATGTGCAGCACTGCCTCCTCCAGCCCGTCGCAGTTCAGAAACTCCACTTGGTCCTCCAACTTCATGCAGTAGGCAAGTGACTGGAGCCAGATGTGGGCTGCGCCCAAGTGGATGACCTCCACAGGATCCCAGAAAGGATCGTCCTTACGGGCCACATGGCTGTCCTCTCCATCTAGAAAACGCTGGTAAAGTTCCTCCATTAGGAATTTCCTATTGATAAACTTGGCTTTTGACCAAATCCACACCTGAAAACACAGAGGTTGGACACTGCTATTTTATTTTGCCTGCTGCTGTAGCTGTTCATCTCTGACTTTGCCCAGTGTGAGCCACCACTGGCTGAGTCTGTGTGCCTAGGACCATGTATCGTTCTTACAAATTTAGCTTTGGTAAAGCCCTTCAAGAACAACATATTCAGAAAAAAATATGTCTATACACAGGATAGCTGGGGTAATTGTACTGCTGATTTCTACTGGCCTATTGAAAGGAACAGTTAATGCTTAAATTATTTTTTCTTTTTAATTTTTAACCAATTTTGCATGCCTATATCTGATAATCTGAACAATTAATTTGAATATGTAATATATATAACAAACCACTGTTGAATTCCTGTCATTTAGTGAAATTCTGTATCATTTCTAATGTTTATTTTACTACTTTTCATTCTCTAAAAAAAAAAAAGAACCTTATATTCACCCTGGACCTGTAACTACTTGAGCACTACATGAGTTGCTTGAACCCAGGAAACAACTTAGAGGACGAGAGTGAGGAAACAGCTCCTCTGAGGAGAAATGAAGGCTTGTGGTTTATGGCACAAAGAACATCCTCAAAAGTCATAGTCCCTGGGACCCAGAATCCTGCTTGTCAAAAGGAATTAAGGTTGCAGATGGAATTAAATTCACTTTCCAGTTGACCCTAAAATTAGATTACTCTGAATATTCCAGGTGGGCTCAGTAGAGGCCAGGGCTTTAAATGTGGAATGAGAAGAAAGGGTCAGAGAAGTGATGATGTGAGAGAAGCAGGGTCAGACAGCTGACTTGTGGCTAACTCTGCACATGGAGGAAGGTGACCACAAGCCAAGCAGTGTTGGTGGCCTCTGGAAGCTGGAGGAAGCAGCAAGGAAATGCAAGGAAACTGATTTTCCTTTGGCCCTCCAGAGAGGAGGATGGTCCTCTCACACCTTGCATTTAGTCCAGTGGAACCCACATTGGCCTTCTGGCCCATCGAATTATAAGGCAATAAGTCTAGGCCATTGAGTGGATTTGTGCTAATTTGAGACACATTGATAGAAGATAGTACAGAGGGAGATAGTTTGAAGAAAAGCTGGAAACTGGCTCCAGAGTCGTTCCACATCCATGTGTTGAGAAGACATGGTCCCCAGCTTTACAGGCAAATGTGGCAGCTCGTCTTAGCTCCATTGTTTCCAGACTCAGGGGAGTTGCAGTCTTTGTTCAGGACTTCACTCCCAGTAGGCAGCAAATGCAGAGCAAGACCCTGCTACTCTCTGCCTCTCACTGGAAGAAGACAGAGCCTCTCTTATGAACTCTGCTCTGGAACAACTTTAGCAGGAGCAACTCAAGCTAGATAGAACTTTTCTTGGCTATAAATGTCATCAGAAGTGGTAATCAAGGCTCTTTCTTTGGACAACTAGAATAAAAACCAAACAAACAGATAACACATTCTTTCTCTGAGCATTATATATTTTCATTAGCATGACACTGTCAGGCTGAGGTAGGAGGATCACAAATTGAGTCCAGCCTGGGTAAATTTAAAGACTTAGACAGATCCTGTCTCAAAAAATAAGAAAGGCTGGGGATAGGGATGTAGTGCAAAAGCCTTCTGTTCCATCCCTAGTACTACAAAAATAAACAATCATGATAGTAAACATAGATCTCCTTTTCTGCTGCCACCAGTAAAGTGAAGAACCACAGTACTCCTTTCTGTTGTATGAGATTAAATTAGATTATGGTGTTGGCATATGGTACCAGAAGCAGACTGCAATAGGAGTTCTAGTTGTTTTCGTTTTTCTCAAGGACTTTTAAGCCAGGAAGCTAAGATAACAGGAATCAGGAAAATGTGGCCACTGCTTTACTAGCTATGGGTATCAAGCCACAGGCCTGGGGAGAGGTGAAATTAGACATCATGGTCAGCCAGACAAGGAAACCAGGCAAGTGAAGCCTGGGGACAAACTGGGTGCCTGTGTTGGTGCCTTCATTACCCCAGGGCAGGCCCCACAAGCCTGGCTCAGACTTCCTGCCAGATATGCTGCTTACCTGGCCAACTGCTACTGGGAAGTGTCACTGTAAAGGAGCTGCAAACCAGCAGTGGTCACAGAGTAGAAAACCTTCCCTCACTCTTGCAAAGCCCTGGCTTGCCCCTGAACTTGTCCTGGATGTGTGGCTAACAAGTGTACAAGTGGCAACATTCACAGTCCTGTTATTCCAGGGTTGAACAACACAACCAACCTGCAAAACAGTGTCACACAGGTCTACACCTAGAGCCCATTGCTGCTCCTTGAAGTCTTACCTTTTTGCCTTTAGAAGCTCATAGGCGTGTGTGTGTGTGTGCCCACACACCCCCCCCCCCCCCACCTACCCACCTACACACACGCATGTTACAAAACACTACCAGAAGTCACTGTCAGCATTCTGGAGGCCTCAAGGAAGGCAAGATTTTATTGTAGGAAAAGTCACTGGTATTAATCTTATTTTTAAAAATATTTTTTAAGCAAACGGACAATCTTAAAGATAAAAGAGCATTTTCATGACTTGCTATGTAAGAAAACTAGAAAAAAAGTCATCACCAAATTAGTGCTCAAACCTTTTATGAGGGAAGCAGCAGCTTATGCAGGAGAGTCCTGGGCTGTGTGTGCTTGCGCCCGGGATGCTGGCTGAAGACAAGTGGCATGGCCAAGTGTCCCCAGCGCTTGGCTCTCCCACACCACTCACATCAGAATGAGTGGGAAAACTGCCCTCTGTTCGACTTCTACTAATGGCAAGCTGTGTGGCTCAGGCAAGCCTCTGCTAGCAACTAGAAAGGCTCCTTTAAAACATTTTTCTTCAAATTATCCTTCAACTATACAAAAGAAAAACCAAGCCCTCAGAATAACATGCATAGAAGATGTCAAAATTGCAAATCTAGGGCTGGCC